TCGTTTGGCACGAAGTTAAATCAAATTTAAAAACATCACGAAACTTTAATCTCACTTTTAAATTCCACGATTCCACTTCGAAAAATTATTTGAACGTTGAGATTTTAATTTTCTCGATCAAAGGAATGATTAGTTCGACTATAAACGATTATAAGAATAAATTAGCATAAATTATTATAAGAGATATTGTTATATTCCCTTTCCTCCAAGGTGTAACGATAAATTTTAAATTATAATTTTTTTTTTTTTGAAAAAATGAAATTACGAGTAATCTAATTTAAAAATACTGTTAAAATAGGATTTCGCCATTTCTCTAAAAGCCATCTGTAGAAAAATTACATTGAAGATCGCGTCTTCCATAAAAACATCGCTGCTAGCAGAACTAGGTATCGATAAAAAAGAGTGGCCATCGAATATTAAAGTTTAATATTGAAGGAGAGCATCCGGTCACGTCCCTGTGACTCTCTCTCTTACTCTGTGAATGTAGACCACATTACGCTTCCGGTTAAAATATTTATTTATCTCCTCTCTATCTTGTGAAACTCGTGGAATGTCCATTTTTAATGAAAATGCAGAAATAATTCACAAGATCGATAAATCTTTGTTAAACATAAGAGAGTTTTCTTGAAGAAATCTCTCCTCTTTGAGAGAGACACTTTCGAAGAAATTATAAAGAAAGAAAGAATAATATAAATGCTTGTTTCGCAGCGTATGTGTATTCGACATGCCATTCCTAATTAATTAATTTCATCTTCATTGAAAATGATGTAAAATAAAACGATTCTAATTCTAGCAATAAAGGGATGCTTCCATCATCCTCATTACGTGTGTTATATATAATTAATCGAAAAACACCGATCGAGATGTTTAAAAATATAAATTTTTTCGTAACAACTTTTCCCTCCAAAATTTACGTCCTCCACGATTATATCAACATTCTCCAGAATAACTCCGGTTCTCGCCAATAGAGGGATGTTTCCTGAGAAACATTGCCCGTAATATTTTATATCGATGTGAAAGGATTGAAAGCGGGGTAGCTTGTATAACGGGCGCATATTTTATTTCCCGTCGTGTCGCGTGTAACGTGTGTGGGCGGTTTCATGTGCGGTTTACACGCGTGGTATTTGCGCCCGTGTTCACGGTCGATCACGTACGTGTAGCGTGACGGCGGAAGAAAGGGGTGGAAAATGAAGGTTGAGCAAGGAATCTGAAATTTTTGCAATCAAATTGTAAAACTTGAATTTTTGCTACTCGATGGTGTTTTAACAAGTCCAAGTTTAAAAATTGGAATTTCATTGAATAAATAAATTTTCGAACATTTTACCAAGCATATAATTTTTATTTATTTATTATTTATTCTTTCCCTTTTTCGCGCCGTTTCTTCGTTGCCATTGCACGAGTGGAACGTAACAGATTTCCGTTTCGTTTCAAAGTTCCTGCACTCGCCTATAAACTGCAGGATTCTAATTAAAACTTGGAGGATTTAGCGTTTCTCTCTATCTTTGCAATTGACGTGAGGACTTCGCGTGTTAGAATTGGATCCCCAAACATTTTTCTTTTCTTCTCTCTCTCTCTCTCTCTCTCTCTCTCTCTGCATTTTCAGTTAACCCATTCGAAACGAATTTTGCTTTCTCAATTAGCAAGAAAGCAATCGAATTACGTATTATTAATCCATAATTTTCGATAATTTTTAAATTGTATTTATCTTTTTAATCAAATTATCATGATTAATGTGATTTTGAAGTAGAAATACAAGTAAAATACAAAATTAAATTATTGTTTATATCATTAATTTGAAACGTCGATCTGAATTTCCAGAGAAGTTTTTAGAGAAGATTTTTCTTCGTTAGAATTCGTAACGAATAACGTGTCTATAAAATAAAAGTGTACAATTTAAATGGCACAGTATTTTACCTCCTTATCGTCAGAACAACGTTACTTTAATTGATGTGTTCTGGATGTGAGTTTAGAGCTTTGTAATTCAACATGGACCACAATTTTCTAGCAAATGAAGGTATAATTTAAACCTCTCTCTGGCCATTCTTGTGGCTATATGAAGTCGCCTTCTAGTTTTACTATTATTAAGGCAAATGAGGATTCTTTTTTTTTTTTTTTTTTTGCGTTTTAACTTAATTTCACTTAACAAGTCATTCAAAGTTTTAACTATCTGTAATATAACATGTATCCAAATATTTTTTTATAAATAGTTTAAAGTTGTATCTGTAATTCATCATTTTAATGAGTTTGATAATTCCAGAGTTAATCTTATTGTTAATATGAATTATGAATATTGAAAAATTCAGATCTGATTTCAAAATTAAATATCCACTTATTATTAGAACTATAAATAGTTGAACATAAAATTGTGTAAAGCAACTATTGTAAAAAAATTGATCAAAGATAATTATTTGTCCTACCTATCATCATACTTATCACCATATTACTTTTTGATTAATTTGTAACAAATTTATCTATTTTGAAAGAATTATGAATCATTTTATTTTTAATTCAATCCCAGATGCAACTTCCATGGACTTTTGCATTAAAAAAGGGAAAAAGTCGAATGTGATTGTTTACAATCATCCAGTCTCAAGGATTTCTTTCATCTCCCCAGGGATAAATTTAATCAAGTCTTTAACTCGCAGAATCTAATTAGAAGATTGCCTCGTCTAATTCCTCCTCGTTTGTTTTTCTCCCTTGATATAGATATGTGCGATGAAAAAAGAAAAAGGAAAAAAAGAGGAAGAATGGAGAGACACGTTTCTGTATTCGCACTTCTTCCTTCAAACGAGATTGAAATTTCTTTGATGCTTGTTCAGCGAACGTGAGGTATTCTTTGAGAATATGTTCCACCCCTCGAATCGATCATGGCTGCGTTTTAGAGGGGGTTTTTGAATTTAATTGCAATTTTTCAATTTCGAAGGAATTGAACGATATCGAATAATTTTATCGTGTTACAATTTATTCTAATTTATAGTGACAATACATTCGATGTGATTCGATGTAATTCTTCTTTCATTATTTGAAATTCATTAAAATAGAATAAACAGATTTATTATTCTTGTAAAAAATAAATTACACGAAATAAATTCAAATAATTCAACATATGTTTAACGCTTACATATTTATATCATGATTGAATTGAAGAAACAGGAATTAATTCTATCATCAATCAAATTCCAACGTACAATAATAAATATAAATCTCCAAGTAATATTTTATAATCAAACAAAAGTTTACTGGTTATAATAAAATGAGATGCAATTATTTGCAAGAAATATCATAACGTTAAAGTTCAAACGATACTTATAATTCCCGCAATTCCATCTTCAAGCAAATTTCAACTTATCCTTGAATACAACTTCTAAATATTTATATCTTATTCGTGGTATATTAACGTGGTCTTACATCGCAAAAAACAACCCCTCTTTCCTCGCGCCCTCTTCCCCTCCCCTATTGTTGAAATTCCACCGAAAACCTCATTAATTAATTCACACCCCGAGAATCGATGATCCCTCCCTCCCTCATTTTTATAATAACGTCGTCCACGACAAAACAAGCCTCCTCCCCCTCCCCTCCCTCTCTCGATTTCGTCAGGGAGCGACAATTAATCGATACGACTCGAGAAGTTCGTTCGATCGACGACACGGCCATTACATTAACCCCTGGCTTGGAAAACGGCCCGAGGAAAAAGTTTTCCACGGCCGATCTACCATCGATCCACGACTTTCTCCCCCTCCTCCCCTTCCAACTAAGAGCCTCGCTCGAATTTAGCTAACCGTTACAATTGCTTCTTCTAGCTAAGCTAGTTTCTTTCGAAAGAGGGTTTTTTTTCGTTTCGTTTCATTGTTGTTGTATCGAATTCTTTACACTTACAGAGGTGGTCAAAGGGGGATATTTTTTAATTGTGCAACAAAAATTTCAATTAAATTTCATTCGATAAATTGTTAAAGTGTTGTTAATAAAGCGATCTTTTTAAAAAAAAAATTAGAATATTTCGTTTCGTTTTAAATTGAAAAAAAAAAAAGGTGAATTTTTCTTCTTCACCAGTTTTAAAAATTATATTTGGAGGATGATTTAATAAATTTTTGAAGCGTCGTGTTATAAACGAAACGAGTGGCAGTAAAAAATTTTATAAAAATGTATAATATCGCGTGAGCATGCAAGATAATCGAGTTTTTTTTTTTTTGATAATTAATATGATTAATTAGCGGTTTAAAAGAGAAATAGAAAATTTATCGATATCCATGAGAGTATAGTTTATATATTCTTTGAATTTAAAAAATTCAAAATCCCTTTGACGTTAATCGGTGTAATATTATTTAAAATTTTATTAAAACGAATTACTCTTCAAATCTCTCTTCATTAAAAAAAAAATCTTTTTCATTATTTTCAGCAATACTCCTTCTCCCCTCCTTTTTTTTTAGGACAAATAAAAATAAAATAATCGAAAGATCGAGTCAACATTTCTCAAAAATTTTCGGAAAATGTTTTTCGAGACGATTTCAACCCCCTTTTTCACAATTCCACATTTTTATGTTTACGCCTCGCTCGATCCACAAATAATTTCAATGATCGTTTCGAGATTATCGAATATCAGGCTTCGATTTCCCATTGCTTTTATTTTATTTCAATTATTTTTTTTTTCTTTTTTGAATTTCAAAGATGAAATTTAAATTATTAACGCATAACATTCTATTAGGGATAATAAGATTTAATAACAATTGTTGATAGATTTTATAAATGTGAAATTTTGAAATAGAATTTAAATATAAACACGCAAATATAAATACTTCATATTCAAATAATAACGATCTAAAATTCAAATCAATCATATATATATACTCACAGCCCATTTTTCATAAAATCTGAATACAAAATAATTTCTTTCATCGTCCCACCGATACGAAATGGAAAAATTTTCTCTATAGATTCTCTATAAAGTAATGAAAATACATTTCAATATTTTTTACTGACAAATTCCTCGATTTGTGTTCCAGGTATTGGCTCGATCGTGGCGATTTCAAAATGACCCTCCGCTATATGAATCTTCTAAAGGGGGCGCCAAGATCGGTCGCCAAGGATTGGATGAACGAAACTAGAATCCTCCTCGAGACCCAACAAGTTGTGGAAACGCTGTTGGCGTATGCTGGTGCTATGGGCCTAATGTTCCTCGGCGCTGGAGATTCGAAGGTCAGTCGAAACGATTACAACAACAACAACAACAACAACATCAAAAACAAAACAAAGAATTGAACAACAAGAATATCAAAAAGACACTATCTAGTAAACAAATTTTTGTATAGTTCACATTATAGTAACCCTTGAAAGAATCGCGAACAATATTTTCACCTCTTCTTGTAAAGTAAAAAAAAAAAAAAAAAAACTACGTTCTCTCGATAATATTTTGAAAAGAAAAAAAAAGGAAAAAAAAAAAATGGAGAAATTTCAAACTGTCAAGGTGAGGACCAAAACATGTATTTTTGATTGTTTATAATAATTGGAAAGTAATATTAAATATACTGGATTGTTCAACAGAATTCCTCGATTTAGTTATTTATAACTTCCGGTTGAAACCTTGCCTCCGGCTCGTGAACGAAAGATATTCGAAATATTCTTTCGAACCAGTATTCGCATAGCTTTTTTTTTTTTGTGGATGAAATATATAACGCTATCGTTCAAAAGTTTGGAAGCAAACGAAATGTAAAGATTATAGATGTATAATAATCAAAATTTGTTATTATGGAGGTGAAATTAAAATGATTTGATACTCGTTTGAAATTTTCTTATCTATCTTTTTTTTTTTTTATTATTATTATTATTATTATTCAACAAATTTTGGAATTTTGTTGAATTCAAAGTGTCTCATTGCTTCCAAACTTTTGAACGATAGCGTGTAAATTTTTTGGAATAGTGTAAATGGGATCGTATCGTCGAATAAAAATCACGAAGATTAGTGATCGTTATTTTTTTATCTTCTCTCATAATTTACGATCTCTGCACGATCCTTGACCAAGAGTCATTTAAAAAGAAAAAAAAATATTTTTTCTTTGTATTAACCCTTTTAGTGGTGTGTAAATACCTCGTAAACTTAATTAACTCTTATTCCATATAAATCGAATTCATTCGTATCCGATCGAGTTATTATTATTTATACAAATTATTCCTCAAATCTTTCATTCTAATCTCGATTTGAAGAATGTTTGAAGTTGTTTATCGCGATGAATATTTTCGGATTATTATTCCTTTAGCCAGATGAAAAACACGAATATGGGACGCAAATGAATCAAATTTATCAACAATAAGAGTTAATCTTAATGATTATAAAAAGTAAAAAGAAAAGAAAAAAAGTCTCTTCGACAAATATGAATTACAAATATTAGACGAAAATAAAAAAAAAAAAGAACAGAAAATTAGAGTAAAATAATAAAAGTAAAAAAATATAAGAGAGAAATATTAAGATAAATCATAAAACCATTACTCACCACTAGAAAGGGTTAACCATCCTCTTCTTGCAGCGTTAACAGCATGATCCACAATTTTTTGGTTGCAGTAGCAAAAAGAATAAAGCGGTAAAACCGACACAAATTGAACCCGACTTTCACCGGCCAGAATGCTCTCGTCCCTTCGTGAAATCTCGCGTCGACAAAAACCGAAAAAAAACCGGCCACAAAAAGCGAATGCAATGAGAAATAAAAAAAAAAAAAAAGAAAGAAAGAGAAAAAATTCGAAACAAAACAAAAAAAAAAGACTCCAAAGAAAAACGATCGAAAGGTTGCTTAAAGTAACCATATATAGATTATATGAAACGTATATAAATATAAATATATATATATATAAATTTAAAAAATAAGAAAAAATAAAAAAAAGGGAAACGCCGACAATGGAGAACGTTCCTTTCGTTGTTGTTCGAAGTGTTCCAGCAAACAGCGCCTGCAACAGACCGTGGATCGACGATCTTGGCGAAGAAGGAGAAGAAAACTCATTAGGAAACGGCGGCGAATTGCTGAAAGAGCCCGAAGACTGAGGAAACGAGGAGCAAGATGGACGTACAAGAGCATCCGGTCCGCTGTCAATCGTGTACTCGGTTGGATTATGTGGAAAAATGGGAGAGATAGAAACGAGGAACAGGTTAGGTTCGAGGTCTGTTTGCGATCAATTACGAATTCGAGCGAGGATAAAGGAAAAATGATTCTTCTCGTGCAAAGAGATAAGTCTTAAAGCGATTGGAAATTTGTATTTCGGAGAATGTAATTTTTCCCCCCTCTTTTTTCCGTATATCGATTTTATCGAAAGAGATCGCGTGATAGAAGTGAAAGAATCTTGTATATCGTAGGAATATTTTACAAAAGATCGTAAAAAAAAAAAAGAAACATGGCGAAAAGATCGTAAAATATTTTTACGAAATGATCGTAAAGAAGATGGGGCGTATTTTATTGCAGGCATTTTCTTGTATATCGATGTCAGGATTAAAAGAGTATTATCTATTGTTATTATTATTATTACCCCGATATTTCGTATTAGAAAATATCGAAATGTTCATATATATGTTCATAAGAATTACAAGTGTGAGATTTAGGTTATAAGAATTTCGAGTTGTGAACATTTCGAATGAACAAGCGGAAGAGAAGAAATAGGAAGATAAGTTGCTGTTTCCTGTGAAGCATTTCCTCTGAAAAGAAAAAAAAAACGGAGGAATTATTTAAAAAAAAAATCGAAAGAAGTTATTAAATAGAAAAAAAAGGAAAAAAGAAATAATAATATAAATAAATAAAATAATAACATTTGGAGATGTAGAAGATTTTCCAAGGATAAAGATCGTTTTTATCGATTAATGTGGAATTTGTCGCGCAGAGACAGCGCCATCTGGAAGCGGACAAGTGGAAGCTTTCGAAGAAGTTCCAATAAGCTAACCTAAAATTCTGGCGCTGTTAGTTTCAGGCAGTATTGTTGATTTTCTGCTTCATTATATCTAAAATGAACAAAGCTTTATAAATAATGTTAAAAAAAAAAAGATATATAATTTTTCTTTCCTGTAAAAGTATTATTCTGTAAAGAGAAAAAGGGATGAAGTTTGATGTATAAATTAATTTGCGATTTTATCGATTCTTTATTTTATTATCATTTAAATAAATTATACAATATGTATAATGTAAAAATATAAATATTTTATTTAAATATAATATAAATGTATGCAATGATAAAATTACCATGGTTTTTTTAATTGGTCAAATAACTTTAAAAGTTATTTTTCACAGCGTGTATTATAGAAATTGATTGTTAATAATAAACAATAACAATAATTCTTCATTATCATTCATCATCACAGGAAGTGGCAACCAAATTTTCCATAATATTTTCCTTTATGTAACTAACAATTAATCTAGATAATCCAAGATTTCAATTTCTCAATTTGCACGCGGTTTGAAAGCGAAGAAAAAAATTCCAATCGAAATGATGAAACACCATCTTTGGATCGTCTAGAATCAATTTTGACATGGTATGGAAGACGCGAGTTGGACGAATAAAATTCGCCTCATCCTAGCTATAATAGTCATTAATAGTAAAAATAATGTAATAAATGTTTCGATGCCGTCTCATCAATTTCTTACTCTTGGATCAAATAAAGGAAGAGTCACTGAACGAAATGAGTCCATCTAACCCCTAACATGGGACAATGTTTCTTCCTCAAATTTCAAAACAACTGGATGACTCTTTGGATTCGAGTCATTAACGAGGTTCGTTGAGAAGGTACGTGTCGTTGGTTTCTCCTCTTTCTGTCTAATTTCCCTCTTTTTTCCTCTCTTTCTCTTTCTTCTTTTTTTTTCTTTTTGTTTTCGTAGAATGCTCGAGAGGACTCGTGCGTCGTGTTCCAGAAGTGGAAAATTAAAGAGAAAAAAAAAACGTTGCTTCTTCTGTGTCCTTCCACTCCACCGTTGAAATGTTTAGACCGAAGAGTTAAATAGGCACAGTGAGTTAAATAAAGCTTGTTTTTTCTTTTTTTCCTAGAAAAAAGATAGATAGATTTTTAGTTTAAAAACGAGAACATTGAGATACAAAAGGTTGTGAAATCGTACCGTGTTAGGGGATGGATTAAACGGCGGAAGAAAATGGCGCTGAATTAAGTGCCGTAAATAGTGTGTTCACCTTTGTAGTTGATTCATCTCGATTTCGAATCGAGATGAATATCTTGGTACGAGCAATAAATGATGTTATTGCTTTTTTGTGTTCTTGGTTTATTGTAGATATTTTAGAATTCTTCGATGACCTGTCCTTTTTCTTTTTTTTTTTCTATCATTTTTGAGTACAGTTTTTAAAAAAATTTCTAAAAATAGAAGGAAATCAGAAACGATTACAATTTATTAAAGTATACTTTTTTTTTTAATATAAATGAGGATAAAAGACATTAATATCCAGTGTAGTTGAAAATTTCTAAGATTGAGAGGAAAATGATTGACAATCGATTATTTTCTTAAAATGTATATTACAAAAAACATTTTCTTTCTTTTATGTATATACTATTTTTGATTGATTCTTGTATTAATATTTTATTTCTAGATTAACAGAAAAATCCTTCTACCATTTACTTGTTATTAACCTCAATTATTCTTAAATCATCCCAAATAAATTAATAAATCTTTCATGAAAAATTTTTTAAAACAAGTAACAATCACAGTTTAAACGGATAATTTTATAAAATTTAATATTTAGATATTGTAATGGAAATGATTAAATTCTTAATTTGCAATGTTTTTCTTAATCCATATTTTATTCCACAACTTTTGTGAAATATTACTTTACTTGGTATCGAATATTAAATATAGTATTAAACATTATATTATAAGATCATATAAAGATATATTTAAATTTCCTATTTTTATAAATTTTATTATAATATGTACTTTCCACGATATTGGCCATCGGCAACAAATCAATATTCTAAAATTAAGAAACTCAAATAAGCGTTGCCATCTTATAAATTAAATGATGAATATCAAATTTATTCAAGATTGAATAAATTTGAAAAATTAAAATAATAATAATCACTATTACAAATTCGTCTTTATTTCAATTTTAATACAAGTTTTCTTCAAGTTCATAAATTATTGTAATGTAAATTATATCCCTTAATGAACCATACCTTATAGAAATAATAGAATTTAATCGTGCATCGATCGGAATATGAAACAGGTTCATCAAAGTTCTACATAAACCCAGAATAATAGAAATCGATTTTCGTTGTTCCCTATATGTATAATTCTCTATAATTCAACCCTTGACTCGATTCAAACTTGACCAAGTTTGATCCTTCGAATCGATTTTCTTAATTCCACGTCTTATATAACATCATTGAGACCTGAATCATAGCTTGGATTAAGGATGAATTATAATGGCGACAGTTCTATATCAGAGTTCGCCTCTCCTAACTTTACTTACTAATTACGCAATATAATAGAACTGGATGGATATGGATTATTGAATACAAATTGACATGATTAATTGATTTATTCTATTCTTAAACTATTTGCCTTCTGTTCTATTCTATCAAATGTTCACGTTTCTACATTTTAACAAAATAAAATTTTATAAAGCAAAAGAAAAATTCATAATCATGGATTGGATCGTGTATGACGATAGAGGAATTAAATTTTTCTAAATTCTAATTACCAAAAATTTAAATACAAACGAAACGAAAATGGACCATTCCTCGAAGCAAAGTAAAATTTAAAATCTAAATCACCATTTTTCCCCTTTAATTCGTCAATAATTAAGATCATCTTCTAGAAAAAGATAGAGGAGGGCTCGAAGAATATAGAATTACAAAAGGGGATGATATCTCGACACGACAAAGGCGGTGCCCAATCGCCCCGACACGCGAGCAGATCAAAATAGGTTGGTAATCTCGGTCCAAGATGGATTCCAATCGTCGGATACATTGTCCGTGGATAATTATCAGGAGTCGAAATGGGCCTCCTGGGATTGGTGCTCTTTCACTGGAAACTGGTTCTCGAGAAAATATTTCCTCCTGTGTTGGAAGAGCGATCAAATGGTGTTCTTTGAGATTTTTGACGAAGATATCTTTGATAGTTTTTGTGGATACAGTAGAGAATACTGGGGGATTGTTTTATTAAAAAAAAAAAATTGTAGAAAATTTGGAATAAATATTTATATATATTTTTTTCTTTGCACTTTTCATATTTCATTTAATTTTATATCTCGTTTTATTTAATATCAAAGTCTAATTTATATATTGTTATCTGAAGATTGTATAATAGGATATTAGGGATTTATATGACAAAAGGTGTAATTCAAGATTAAAGTAATGAATGAGAATTGCTCGTTAATTAAGTACTTATAAAATATTTTATTCCTCTTTTAATTTAATTGGAAAAAGAATTAATGATAAGGATAAATCGGATGAGAAATAGAAAGTAGTGGAAGAAGATAATGTATACGAATGTTTTTTGAATAAGATTCTTTTGAACATTATTTTTTGATAAATTATGATAAATTATCAAATCTAAAAATTGCAAAATAATTTTTCTCAAATAGTTTATTAATCAAGAATATCAATATTCTTCAATCCTCATAAATTCTTTTTTTTTAGTTTGAAAAATTCTGTAAATTTTATTAAAAATTGAAAAATAATTTACAATTGATTTATGATTTCCAAAAATAATTTCAATAATTTTCAATCATTCAATTTTCAGAAATATGAATTTTTCTTCACAGTCTCTACACAGTTTTTTTTGCACAATTTTTTTCAAAAATTCTATATATATATATATATATTTTAGCATGTTAAAAATTTATTTTAATTCGATTACTGGAAGAAATCTTGATGTGTCATTGATACATTTATTACACATCAATTGGTGACCAAATTTGTCATTGAAATCATTATAAGTGACATAAGACTAGTTGCTGAAAGGAGACGATATTGTAATTATTGAAGAGACACGCTTTTCCAATTTTGAGACGACACTAATGAAATTATTCCCCTTTCGAGCTAACGAGCTACGAGTGGAGTCGAGAGGAAAAGAGAAGATGGAGAATGAAGTTTGGAAATTGATGGTGAAAAAAAATAGCAAAGGTTAAAATTGTTATATCCTTGCATTGGTAGTATTATTTGATTTTTAGAATTTTGAATCTGGAAATTATTTTTAAGATTTGAATCTTTGAATTTTTAAATTTTAAATATTGAATTTTTTTTATTTCAGGATAAATCTGAATCTTATTAGATATCAATGAACTTTGGTCATTAAACTATTTCAAATTATTTTTGAAATTTGAATCTCTGAATTGTAAGTCTTAAATTTTAAATTTTAAATATTAGACTCTAAATTTGGAATTTTTTAAATGATAGATATTTGATTAATGAATTATAAATATTTTAAATTATTAGACTTTGAATTTTAAATTTTTAAATTTTGCAATGCATTTTGGACTTTAGAATTTTGATTAATGACTTTGAAACTTAGATTATCGAACATGAATGATTAAACATTGAACTTTGAAATTAATAGATTATTAAACCCTTAATTCTATACTTTGAATATTTAATTTTCGAATTTTTTAACTATAAAATTTCTAAATGCAAAAACTTTTGAACTATCGAGAGCAGAAAGGAATAAAAAATTCGACAATATATTTTTTTATATTTATTTTTATATCTCTTTCTTTTATTATTTCATGTTTCTA